TATTATATCCAGCAGCTAAATGCAAGGGTGTTGAACGCCGGCCATCGCTAGCGTGGCAGTTTACGTTAAGGGGATTTAAAAGGGACAATAACCTGTCTTCAGCCCCAGACCTTGCTGCCTCCAGGAGCTCGTCTTTCCTATATTCGCCTGTCAGAACGGGTTTCACGGCAGCATCTGCTAGATCGAGGGGTGTTTTTCCCTCCGTGTTTCGTATGTTTGGATCGGCACCGTGTTGTAAAAGTGCTACATTTACAAAAAAAAGAAAAATCATTGAATTTCAAATAATTTATATTTACAAAAATTTGTTTTTGAAAAACTGTATGCTACCACAAAAAAAATATAACATTAATGATTAGAAAGGAATAAAATAATAGCACATTACATAAGTTTTAATTGGAACTTTCTCCTATGCACTAACATATACTATCAACTATGTTAACAGTCATACAGTCACAAATAAAAAGAAATGCAATTAAATTTAATAAAACAAATTATTGCAGCCATATTTAAGGTATAATAAATGCACTTACCTATACAAACATCTATTTTGCCTTTTATTGCAGCTTCATGTAACGGTGTGTAATTCCAATTATCCCTGGTGTTTGGATTAGCACCTGCTTCAAGTAATAGTCTCACTACATCTGCGTGGCCAAATGAGCAAGCATTATGAAGTGGATGCAGCCCTCCATCGTCTCTTGCTTGAATTGAAGCTCCAGATGATAATAAAAATTCTACAACGTCTCTTCTACCATAGCCTGACAATAACAAAAATAGTAAACAACTTTTTATCACTTGAGAAACTTGATATTATTTTCAACAACAGAATCATGTTTAACAATGAATTACTTATTTGTTCGATATAATAACATAAATAAAACTTATCTAATTTTATATATAAAATCAAATAAAAGAAAACACGAAATTAATTACAAGTGCCTCATATTTATTAGGTGATAATTTTGTGTTCAAAATTTTTTATTTTATTATTCAATCACTTTTACGCAATTCCTGAGAGAATTATTTATAAAAGCCAAGACAATCAATGTTTTAAACTTTGGTAATTAGCAGTCACTTAACGCCTGAGTTGACTAATTAGCACAGCAGGATATTACATTCTGAAGGTAACTTGTCAACCATGAAAAATAAAATAAAAAGTATTTTTACAGTTTACCTGCAGCGAAATGTAAGGGTGTCGACTTTCTCCCTGCAGTGTCCCTTGCATTAACTGTTTGAGGAGTGACCAATTTTCTGACTCTGGAAATGTCCCCAGTTTTACATGCTTCGAAAAGCTCTCTCAAAGGGTCGCTGGAACTCGGCAATGTTTCCATGGAAGATGCCAAAACGGCTCGTCGATTCGCCATTTCAAAGTTTCACTTTTTGTTACTCAACATAAGGATCACAGTAAATCCGACATTTTTCACGAAAAACATAAAACTTTAAAGACAATTTTTAACATGGTAATATGACAACATTTTAGGTCATTTTCAAGTGGTTTTGATGCAACAAAAAACAAAAAATAAAGGCAGAATAACCTCTAGTAAGGCTGAGCAACAGAAACTATTTTGACAGTACTTTGACAGTTAAAGTAGGTCGATCTTTTCTAGAGTGCATCCAGTTACAGTGGTGTACTATTTTTTCCGTACTCCTTGAAACTAAATTAGTTTTAATTGTTATAGGTAAAATAATTAATCCGAATCTTATATATAGTATAATTTAGACAAAATGACTACTAGGGTAGAATCAAACAATCTAACTGTTTTACAAAGTATCTAGTAAAAACTGAATAAAGTAACAAAACACAATAAATTATAATTTATTTTATATTGTTGATAGAGCCCTCTGTTTTTGGTTTTTGATAAGTATTCCCCCTCGTTTAATTAAATAAATATAAGCAATTGTAAAAATAATTTTGATTGCATCTGAAGAGCTTTAGAAAGCTAGGCAACCCAATTAGCAATTAATTACTGCTTGAAACTGTACTTACAGTAGCATTCATTGTTTTCACACTCATTTCTGTGATAACGTAAATCTTAATGTTCTTGCATATATTTAAGAATAATACATACTATTTATTGAGAAATAGTATCCAAAAATAAAGTATATTATCTAAGGAACCTAGAAACAATTAAACTGCTACAAAAATATTTTTTACTGAA